TGTATATATATATATATATATATATATATACATATATATATATATATATTTAACAGAATGAAGATAGAAAAAGTTGTATAGGAATTGTAACACCTAGACTGAGAAATGTAGAATTTCTATACATTATTAATGATCACTATTTTAACATTTTATCACATATTAGCTATTAACTCAAATGTAGTACAATGTAGAAACTCTGCTCACTCTTGCCACTGTGGCTAATGCAATGAAATGTGCATTAGCCACACACATATTTCATTAGCCACACCATTTAAAGTATTAAACTTATGTTAGTGTGTATATTGAAGCTGTAAATGTAAGAATGATGACTTTAAGGCATCTGTTATCAAAGTAACCACACCATCAATATTTACACTATGTAATATATATTTATATATATATATATATAAAAGACAAGAAGTTTTATCTCCAGGAACTTTTTTATGTTGTAAAGTAATACAAGAACATGCATTGATGTGATGTTCAGTTGTGGCTTCTTTGTTGTCGATATTACTTAAAAAAAGAGAATTTTTATTCCCTTTTGTGGTAAATTAAAGGTGATTTAGATTTGCCACATTGAGTTTAGCTTCACATTTGCGAGTGTGGCAACCGGTTAGCATGAGCAGAGAGAAACTTTCAAGTAGTTTTGCAATTACGTCCTCCAGGGCTAGGTTCATGGAGAAACAAGTTTTCCAGTGCCAGAGCTATTTTTGTGTACACAACAAAAAGAAAGAAAAAAGGCACGTGTATATATATTTCATGACTTACATGAAACTGGCAAATTCTGGAAAGGTTGAAGGGGAGCACCCTTTCTTTATGGTGGTACCAAATTCAAAACTCACTTGTGGACATGATTAATATCACACTTTTCAAGGATAAAAAAATGTTTAAAGGATATTCCAACACCATTTGGGGTACTGAATTTCATTTTGGTCTCTTAACAGAAATACATAGTTCATAAAATAATGAAAAGGTACCTTGAATATTATCAGTAATAGGTATAAATGTTAGGATCTTAGATCATGACCTATTCTTAAGTGGTATTACTCATACATTACACTTTTACATTTTGTGGTATATGCTTGTAATGTAGATTTTAAATGTTTTCTTGTAAGTATGTGGATATGAAAAAAATGTTTTTATTTAGGTTATTGATGTTTTTATTTTTCATTTGTACAGTGCCTTTCTTTAAGTTTTACAGTCAATAATGTAGTTTTTTTTTAGTATTTTTTAAATCTCAAAGATTTTGTACTTGGACATTGGTGAAATATTACTGTTCAAATTCAAATTTATTTTTGACAGCTACAAGAAATTTGGTTTAAAAAGTGATTTAATTTTATTTAGCATAACTTGGCTTAATTACACATCTTATTGCTAATAACTTAATAACTACTTCATAAAGAAACATTAGTGTATGGAAACTATGATAATTTAGTATTTAAAAAGAGATTTAAAATTACTGTGATGGAATACAAACCAACCTATCAAAGGTACTCAATGTGCTGAGCTGTGATACTGTACAGGAACATCTTGAGGAAGTTTTCACTTTCAGAACTTAAGCTTATGTAGAGTAAAAAATCATTACCTCTTGTGAAAAATAAATAGAAAACTAACTTCTTTTCTTGTAGGAAAAAGAAAAATATGAAGTCAACACTTTTGTGTCTTACAAGTATTTTGTGGGTGGTGGCAGCCCACAACCACCTTCCTGACGGCACTGCAGTTGTAACTGAACCACAGAATGTAAGAATAACTCAATAAAAGTTGATTCTTTGTGTGCATCACATTTTTGCCTTTTGAATATAAATATTTTTTATACATAATGATATTTCATACAAGGCTTAAGTTTAGGAATTTTTATTTCTGGGAATGATTATCCAAAAAAAACAACTTTTGTGCTGGAGGATCATAGTCTAAATGAATGGTTAACTCTTATTTTTCTACAATTTTAATAACTTAGTGTAAAATGCTGTATATTTTATTATACTCTTGTTACTGTTTCACTGATATAGATACTAAAGCAAACTTGTGTTTTGAGCCCTCATCTATTATGTAGTACTGTAACATTAACTTATATGTAACTCAAATTGTAATATGGAATTGTATTCAGATAGACAGAGTAATTGATCAGGAGCATTATTTACTGACATCAGTGTCCCATGATAAGTTTCACAAGTTCTTTAACCTCTGTAGTGTGAAATTACCTAATCATAATTTTCTTTTGATATTAGATCAATTACAATGTTTATATCTTGTATCTTTAATTTTACTGAACTTCCACTAGGCTGTAAATGATGTAAAACATTTTCTAGTAGAAGTGAATGTTAATATTAAAATTAATCCAAAGCTATAGAGACTTGTTTGCCAATCTGTGTTATATTGTCAAAAAGTTTTCCCATCTTTTGTAACTGATGAGACTTACCTGTTATGATAAAAGTAGGTTTAGCTGTTGATAATTCTTTATATGGAATGATCTTGATTACTTTAACTGATACAAACTATGCTTCCCAGGTTGTTGCTGGGAGTCCAGGAACACCATGGCCTATGCCAAAGAGTACTTCAGAGTTTGGAACCGTAATGACTATTGATCCTACAAACTTTAAGATGTTAGTGAACATAAAAAATTGTGATATTATGAATCAAACAGTTCAGAGGTATATGAAGCTGACATTTTTAGAAAAATGCTTGCCAATAGATTCCCCAAGGAATTCACTTTCTAATTCAAAGAAAAATAGTGAAAAAAATAAAATGATTAAAGCAAATGGGATGCTCTACAACATTTCTGTCACTGTGTTAGGGAAATGTGAAAAATGGCCTTACCTAAATATGGATGAACAGTGTAAGTGGAATTATAGTATGCTTTGTTATAGTTACAAAGTGTACAATATACAAATAAGTTTTTAATTGGATTTTTGTGATTTTAATTAAGATACTATTCTATTGCATTTTGTAAGAATGATATTCAGTATTTATGCTGTTCTTGGAACCTCTTCCTGCATCTTTGATTATGACCAAGCTCATGGCAATTATTGTGCACTGTTGCTATTGCTACAGTTTTCAACAAGCTTCTGCACGGAACAATATTAGGTCTCGCATCTTGACAGATTTTTCCTTAGATTCTCCATTGTACATGGACTTCAGATTCCAAGACCACATTTAAGTAAACTAAATGCACAAAAGATTATTGAAGACATACTGAAGAATTTAACATATGGTCAAATTGAAGTACTGTAATTCCAGTTTCTTCAGCCATTTTTATCATTAAAATATCTGTTGAGTTTATGGTGTGACTTGAAGCTTGTGAGTTTTTGTCAACTTCAAATGCTTTTTAATGGATCAGGAGTTATCCCCAGCTTCATTGGAGTAGCTTTTTGGAGTCATGACTATATATCCTTTTTTATATATAAGGGTATTCTTCAGGATTGGCTTGAGGTTTGGGTATTTTTATGGAGCCAACTACTGTTCTAAACTCTGCTGTGTGAGTTTTTTCACTTTTTAATAGAAAACGTTGTGAGGGGTCCTGTATTTGAACTGTTATAACCCTTGGCTCTACACCATTTTAATAATCTCTCTACATGAATATCCTTCTTTAGATAAGGTTGTGACATATTCTGCAAGCCGTAAGTCTATGTATGGCAGCATTGCACTATTAAATGGTTGAAAATTAGCCATGAATCAAAGATATAAATGCTAAACATGTCACGTTTCAACAAAACCCTTTAGTTTAGCCATTACACAAGTTTATAAGTCTACAGGTGATAGTGAAATAACCCAGTGATCAGACAAATATGACTAAAACTGAAGAAGCATGACAAAAAGACTTCACACAGGGCAAAATGACACTTAGAGCAATTTAGAAAAATAAAAATAACCAAAGTCTTTCTGATACAGACTAAAAACTGATTTCAAATATTGATAAAAGAAGAACTTTCAAACAAAGGATGCTGAGGATCAGTGGATTAAGTTCAAAGAGGTGTTACACAAAGCAGAAGATAATAAGGAGTAAAAACAAAACCCAGATGAATTGTTCGAAACAAGACAACTGTGAAGAGAGGAAAAAATATGGGGAAGTAGATAAAGAAATCAGATGTTTCTGTAGGTGAGCAAAAAATGAGTATCTCAACAAGAAATGTACAGAAATTGGGGAATGTGAGAATTTAACGTGCATGAAATGAAAAGAAGAATTTTTAAAAGTTAAATAGTAAACCTAAACTATCTTCCAATACAGCCATCAAAAGTAATGATGGTCTGATACGTTCCAAAATGGATGATGTTAAAGAGAGGTGGGCATAGTATGCAGGAGAATTGTAAAATGATACAAGGGAAGAGGAAGTAGTAGAACCAATTAACAATGGTTAACCAATTCTGGAATAGGAGACATACCAAATATTAAGACATTAAAAAGCATATGGTATGTACAAAATGCTAGAAGAAGTTTAAAAGGAAGCAAACATTTTAAGGATTTAATATTTGACTATAATTTGAGACTTAACTTATACAGAGGGAGAATGCCAAAGTCTCAAAAAAGTGTTCTAGTGCTGACCCCCAAGAAGCTATGGAGTGTGGCTAATCCTATACTGTCAGCTTGATTAAAGATGCCTTAAGGGTGTTGCTAATAATCCTGAATAGAATTAAACATAAAATAAGAATGAGCTGTCAAATGATTTAAATGATCTTAGAGGAGGTTTGGATGTGAGAGGGCATGTTTGACCCTATCATATTAGGTGAGTGCCAGAGAAGTGCAAAGAAATCTTTATGTATGATTCGTAGACTTGGATAAAGCTTTTTACAGGAATAATCATGAGAAGCTAATAAGTGGAGATCCTGCAGCAGATTAGGGTAGATCAAATATATATATTTGAATCCTGAGAAACGTACTGGAGTCAGGAAGCAGCAGTTCAAAGTGATGGAGAACTAACAGTTTATTTGTGCTTAAGAGAGGCATACAAGAAGGATGTGTCACAACATTATTTAATTTATTTTTTTAGAGTGATTCATGAGAGGAAGTAGTAGAACCAGTTAGCAATGGATTGTCAATTCTGGAATAGGAGGCAGTGGAAACCATTAGGAGATTAAAAAATCATGTGCATAGACAAGATCTTAGCAGAATTTTAAAAGGAAGTAGACCTTTTAAGAATTTCATATCTCACTATAATTTGTGAAATCTAGAATGATGTATTATATCAATATGAAAAGGTTTAAAGCATTTGGTAAGTGTTTTTAAAATTTTCTTTTTCTCAAAAGTGGAACATACAAGAAAATTTTCCACAATTTTGTATCATTAAAATTTGTGTTCAATGGGAAGATCACTGAATTTTTTAAGTAGAATTTAATGGAATGTCTTTCTTTAGAATGTTGATGTGGAAGCTTAATCTAAAGTAACTTAAATGAAATGCTTCTTATTTTACAGATTTGTTAAAAATTGATAGCCCAGACCTTCCTGGTAAAGCCAATTTGGTCAGTTCCACAGTGTGGGGCGCATTGCGTGGCCTCGAGACTTTTAGTCAGATTGTATATTCTCTTGGTGATGGAAAGGTAAACATTTATAGAAGATTGTCTTAATATTTATCTTAATATAAATAGCAAAGGAACAGTAGAAGGCACTTGGTAATCATTGTATAACATTTGGAAAATGTTTATATTGAAAATGGTGGAGAATAAGTTGTGTATAAATCCATTTATTAGAAATGAGAATCAGCTATCATTTGGCAGATTTTTGCCACTTCTATTGTCAAGTTGACCAACCACACAATTTGTTCAAACCTGGGAACGAAATGTTGGAGGGTGTACTAGTTGGAACAAAATGTTGGAGGGTGTGCTGGTTGGAACAAAATATTGGAGGTGTGCTTGTTTAAAAATTAAATACTAGGACTGGTAGGTCCCTATCTGTGATTGCTTTGATGTGTATGTGAGGCTCCATTCAGTTGGCTAAAATAAACTCATTAAAGTACAATAGTAGATGATTTAAAAAGGGCAGCCTAGAGGTAGGCTTTAAATCTTTGGTCATTTGCATTAATGGCATGTGTGATTTTCATCCATTTGTTTAGAATTACATAGAATATACATTTTTCTTTCATAAAATATTATTTTTATGTGTGAACTTGTTTAAATGGAGCCTAAAATAGAGTTAGACATGATCTGATGAAATTTGGAGGTATAAAGTATACGACAAAATTCTCTAAATTGATTTCAGTAAGTAAGGGCTTTACAAATGAAAACATATTAAAAACAAACTGTATGCCGCAGATTACAAAATTATTTTCAGTCTTATAGTTTTGTTGTACCCAGGAGAGCAAAATTATGGGATCAGGGAATTTAAGACGTACAAGAAATCAGTCAACCCATTTTTTTCTACAATGTTTTCTCAGGAAAATGAAACAAAGTATCCATACCTGCATCTTAAAAGACTCAGTTTTTAAATGATTGGTTAGTAATTTATTCTAATGGAAACTGATTTGCATCAATATTGATTCAGTATTTCATGAAGTGGCCAATTTGTACATAACTGGTCTCATCATTGCAATTATAAACACATGTATTTAGTATCTGTCTAAATATTTCATGAAATGATCAGTTTGTTTTGTAGCTGGTCTATTTATGATAACTGGAACGTGAGTTAAAGTGGTAAAAAGTCAATTGTTTACTAATCATCCTATCAGTAAATAATGTGAATATTTAGTGCCCCAACATGGCCTAGACATGTTGATCCCTTTGAGCATAGCCTTTATTATTGTTCTCATCCCTGATTTATATCCTACAAATTTCCATTAAAGAAATATGAAAAGGAATAGTCTAACAGTATGAACTTTAATCTTTATTTTATTATCTTTTATTTATCTCTAACAAGCAAAAGTATCTATCCCCAATGAGGGGAAAAGTTTAAGTTAATCTATCAATTTAAATTATTTCATGGACCTTAAACCGTTTAATTGTGTTGCATTCTTGGTTTCACTAAGAGCCAAAGCTCTGAGCTACTTATGCCACCCACTGTGAAAAGTAATTGTTGAGCATTTCAGTCATGCTAAGAGCAACTCAACAATAACATATGGTAAATCTACAATTATATTCTTTAAGTTACTTCACATTTTGAAAAGTGAATGATAGTGTGATTAATTCCTAAAAATTTAGTGTAGAATATTCTGCTTGCAAAGTAAAATTTGGCATCAACACTATTCATGCCTGTTCTTCCGTTATTTAAAAAGTGAATGTTCAGCTTTGCCTGCTTGTGCAGCTTTTCAAATACAGTGCAGGAAGTGGCTGTCATAAATGTGAGACTGTCGAATGCTCTGACAGACACCACGGTTTGCAGTATATATATAAGATTTTACGATAGTGTTATTACTTGGGTGTAATTCAGAGATATAGTCCATATATAATCAATGCATACAAACATTTTGTACTACTTGATTAAGTAAAATTTTGGTACATAGACAAAACAGATACGTAATCAGTACATCAAATAATTCGTGTTTAACCTAAATCAGAGGTATGTATTAAAATTGTGTGTTGTTTAAGTGGACTTTCAGACTTTGTTGATTGTAATTCATCTACTTGTTTATGCCCACATGTTTTCCAAATATGATAGATCAAATTAAGTACTCAATTTTATATATTCTTACAATTTTTTCTACTTTCTTTCTATTAATATAGTAGAAAAATAATATATTGTTATTTCTTCAATGTTCACTCACTCATCGAAATAGAAACCCCAACCTATTAATGAGTCAGGCCACCATTTGCCTTGATTACAGCCTGAATATAATGTATCATTGACTCCATTAGTGATTTGAATATATCTGCTTCAATCTTTGACCATTTCTAAATATTGTGTTCAACACAGGTAGAGTTGATAGTAGTGGACTGACTATGTCTCAACTAAGCTCATTCTAAAATGTTCCCATATATTTTCATTGGTCTTAAGATCATGGTAGAATATGCAAACCAGAATAGTTGTTGGAAGTCTGTATCATGTTCAGTGAACCCATCACAACTAATTTTAGTTCTCTGGTTGATAACTTTATCATCATGGAAGTAATTGTCTCCATCTGGGCAAAAGTTGTGCATTACTAGGTGCACATGCATGGCCAAGGTGTTCAAATTTTCACAAACAGATATATGGCCATTCAGAGGAACCAGGAACCAAGCCCATGCCATGTAAATGAGCCCCACAACATTAGACTGCCTATAGAACCTTGTACAGTCGAGACAATGCATGATGAGTCTGTGACTTTATTGGATTCTTGCCCTACTATCATTGCAGAACAAAATAAAGCTAATTCATCCAACCACATTGCACACTTCCACTGGACAATGGTCTAATCCCAATGATCTAGGGCCACTTCTTTCAGTTCTTGGGAGAGAGAGAGAGAGTAGTTTACATGAGGGGGCACATTTATCAAAGTTAACTTCTTGCAGCTCCCTATGTATTATTTTAGTTAAAATGGATGTTCATGGACAATTATTAAAGCTATTCATCAGTCCATACACAGTTTAATGTCTGTTATTCCCAGCAGTCCTCAATATTTGTCTCCTATCCCTGTTTGATAGTTCTTTTATGACCACTTTGTCTCTTATGAGACGTAGGTTTTTGATCTGCTGACCATGCAGTGTAGACTTGAGATATAGTAGCCTTTGATTTTGCAGTCAGCTTGACCATTTTCACAATTAAGGCACCTAAGAAATGAGCCCAACAATAACACATTACTCTAACTTGAAAAATCTGTTGTCTTTCCTATTATAGCAACTACTGATGCTTTTACAATATACAGTTTGTATTTATAGATTCCTAGTAGTATTCTCTATCTAACAAGCAAATACTTACTTTGTAAAAACACAAAGTGAGGGCTGGTATATTCTATTGGTAGGGGGCTCTAATGTTTTGGCCAGTGAGTGTAAAGTAAATGTTTTAGGCAAGTATATTCCAGTAGACAATTCTAACTTCAATTTTTCTCTATATGTAGTTTGGAGTAAATTCCACCATGATATTAGATTCACCAAGGTTTTCTCATCGTGGTTTGCTTCTGGACACATCTCGCCACTTTGTTCCTGTATCAGTACTGAAACAAAACTTGGCAAGTACTGTATTGAACTCTAACATACTTTATATACAAGTAGAAATATCAAGGCGATATGTCATATTTACCACTTAAGAACTAAATAACATTAACATATGTTTAATAGTCAGGGGATTTTCTTCAAAAGATTGCATTAATTTGTACTTACATGATTATTCTTGTTGTCAATAACATCTAATATACGTACAGTTGAAATTTGTTTTGTATATAACATTTCATACTGAGTGCTCATAATGCATATAACATATCACTTTGTGTTACAAGTTAATCCTTCTTTGAAAAAGGTTTTTATGTAATTAATTTATAGAAGCATTGAAATATAGTGTACTGTAGTCATATTTTGCCATAGTTTGTAATTAACTGTCCATTTTTTGTAAAATTTCTGAAATATCTGATCCATCTGTTACCACATGTCAAACTTTAGAAGATAAACAGAAAATATTAGCATATAATACTTTAACAACTGCTGTTAGTTATTTATTTTACTGTTGTGGCTTTCCTTTGGGTGGGTGAATGTATTTCAATCTGTTCTCTACCAGAGGTTAAGATTGAGCATATAATATTGTTAGAAATAAGGATCCTTGTGTTGTGAGAAGTTTAATTTATCAAATATTTCAAATCATCCATCATTTCACTTTTATTTGTGCAATACATTATGTCATGATATAAAAGACTGTTTAGTGTAAACATTATTAATTAATTATTTTATGATTTAATATTTCATGAGTGTTTATTTTATTTTTTATAATAAAAGAGTTAAAAGCAGATGATTATTGGAAGTTGTGTTTATAATTCAGTGACGTTGAAGCTATCCAATGTCATATGAAATTTATTGATGTCAAGGATATAGTGATTTTTAGAAGGTGAGCAGACAATTAAGTGAGAAATATATAAATAGAGTGAGATGAGCGACAAACAGAGCAGACGAGAAAGTAAAGTCATGGGAAGTAGAAGTTCGGTCAAGGCAAGTTAGACGTAAAGTTAACTGCCATAGGAGTAAAAAGTCTAATGGTTAATATAAGCCTAATGATTAATATGTTAGAGGAAAACTAACAGCTTTAAAAGAGATAAGAAGTATAGTTTATTCCATCAAGGGAGTTTTAAAGTAATTGAACTAGCCTGAGTTCACTTTGACAAAAGTTACAGATGATATCTGAAGTACGAGGACCAGATGATTATTGGAAGAGAGCAGTATACAACTGTGGTAACTCGTGCTATGATTGTAAGTGAATTATACATGAAATACTAGTGTGATAGACATAGAGAAAGGTAGGTTGGTTTGTTAACTGAAATTCTAAAGCAATTGAATAGGCCTAAATGGACCTTTGAGAAGAAGAAGAGAACTATATATAGTGTTTATGATATGCTTATGATCTCTATAGTGCAACCAATTTGCTGTACATACATTTAAAT